ATCAAGATCTATAGAGATAGATCAAGACGCTTAATTGGACTTTCACAAAGCACATACCTTGATAAAGTTTTGAAGAAGTTCAAAATGGATCAGTCAAAGAAAGGGTTCTTGCCTGTGTTACAAGGTGTGAAGTTGAGTTAGACTCAAAGCCCGACCACCGTAGAAGATAGAGAGAAAATGAAAGTCATTCCATATGCTTCAACCATAGGTTCTATCATGTATACAATGCTGTGTACCAGACCTGATGTATGTCTTGCTATAAGCATAGCAGGGAGGTACCAAAGTAATCCCGGAGTGGAGCATTGGATAGCGGTCAAGAACATCCTGAAATACCTGAAAAGGACTAAGGATATGTTTCTCATTTATGGAGGTGAAAAAGAGCTCATTGTAAATGGTTACGTCAATGCAAGCTTTGACACTCATCCGGATGACTCTAAGTCACAAACCTGATACGTATTTTTATTGAATGGAGGAGCTATCAGTTGGTGTAGTTCCAAGCAGAGCGTCGTGGCGGGATCTACGTGTGAAGCGGAGTACATTGCTGCTTCGGAAGCAGCGAATGAAGGAGTTCGGATGAAGGAGATCATATCCGATCTAGGTGTCATACCTAGTGCATCGGGTCCAATGAAAATCTTTTGTGACAATACTGGTGCAATTGCCTTAGCAAAGGAATCTAGATTTCACAAGAGAACCAAGCACATCAAGAGACGCTTCAATTCCATCCGTCATCAAGTGTCGGAAGGGGACATAGAGATTTGCAAGATACACACAGATCTGAACGTCGTAGACCCGTTGACTAAGCCTCTCTCACGAGCGAAACATGATCAGCACCAAAGCTCCATGGGTGTTAGAATCATTACTATGTAATCCAGATTATTGACTCTAGTGCAAGTGGGAGACTGAAGGAAATATGCCCTAGAGGCAATAATAAATTTATTATTTATTACCTTAATTCATGATAAATGTTTATTATTCATGCTAGAATTGTATTAACCGAAAACTTAGTACATATGTGAATACATAGACAAAACATATAGTCCCTAGTATGCCTCTGCTTGACTAGCTCGTTAATCAAAGATGGTTAAGTTTCCTAACCATAGACATGTGTTGTCATTTGATGAACGGGATCACATCATTAGGAGAATGATGTGACGGACATGACCCATCCGTTAGCTTAGCATTATGATCGTGTTAGTTTCATTGCTACTGCTTTCTTCATGACTTATACAAGTTCCTCAGACTATGAGATTATGCAACTCCCGAATACTGGAGGAACACTTTGTGTGCTACCAAACGTCACAATATAAAAGGGTGATTATAAAGGTGCTCTACAGGTGTCTTCGAAGGTGTTTGTTGGGTTGGCATAGATCGAGATTAGGATTTGTCACTCCGTGTTTCGGAGAGGTATCTCTGGGCCCTCTCGGTAATACTCATCATTATAAGCCTTGCAAGCATTGTGACTAATGAGTTAGTTGCGGAATGAAATATTATGGAACGAGTAAAGAGACTTGCCGGTAACGAGATTGAACAAGGTATTGAGATACCGATGATCAAATCTCGGGCAAGTAACATACCGATGACAAAGGGAACAACGTATGTTGTTATGCGGTTTGACCGATAAAGATCTTCATAGAATATGTAGGAACCAATATGAGCATCCAGGTTCCGCTATTGGTTATTGACCGGAGACGTGTCTTGTTCATGTCTACATAGTTCTCGAACCCATAGGGTCCACACGCTTAACGTTCGATGATGATTGGTATCATGAGTTTATGTGTTTTGATGTACCGAAGGTAGTTCGGAGTCCCAGATGTGATCACAAACATGACGAGGAGTCTCGAAATGGTTGAGACATAAAGATCGATATATTGGAAGCCTATGTTTGGACATCAGAATGGTTCAGGGTGAGTTCGGGCATATACCGGAGTACCGGGAGGTTACCGGAACCCCCCGGGAAGTATATGGGCCTTATTGGGCCATAGTGGGAGAGAGGAGAAGGAAGCCTAGGAGCCCTCCCCCCCAAGCCCAATCCGAATTTGGTGGGGGGTGCCCCCCTTTCCTTCCTCCTTCCTCCCCCTTCCTTCCTCTCCTAGTCCAACTAGGGAGGGGGGATCCTACTCCCGATGGGAGTAGGACTCCTCCAGGCCGCATCATAGAGGGACGGCCCTTCCCCCTCCTCCACTCCTTTATATACGGGGGAGGGGGGCACCCCAGAGACACACAAGTTGACATTGTTTAGCCGTGTGCGGTGCCTTCCTCCATAGTTACACACCTCGGTCATATCGTCGTAGTGCTTAGGCGAAGCCTTGCGCTAGTAACTTCATCATCACCGTCACCACGCCGTCGTGCTTACGAAACTCTCCTTCGGCCTCAACTGGATCAAGAGTACGAGGGACGTCCCCGAGCTGAACGTGTGATGAACGCGGAGGTGCCGTACGTTCGGTGCTTGGATCGATTGGATCGCGAAGATGTTCGACTACATCAACCGCGTTAACTAAACGCTTCCGCTTTCGGTCTACGAGGGTACGTGGACACACTCTCCCCTCTCGTTGCTATGCATCACATAGATAGATCTTGCATGATCGTAGGATTTTTTTTTGAAATTACCGCGTTCCCTAACAGCTCTGGCCGGCAAGGGTGCCTGCCAGAACGGTGTATCTCATGTTCTTGTCGGTTGACACACCTGCTATGGATGTCGGCGCTGTTGAACCACCGCCTCCTGTGTTGGGAGTGGGACCCTGTAAGAATTTGAATCCCCTGTTAGCAGTTACATGAACAACACACAACATGTGTACGCGAATGCATCTCAAACTTAGGAGGCTAATACATGGTTATCTATTGGACATGTACCATTTTGTTAATAAGGATGCTAATTGGTTGTGCATGACATCACAAGAACTTACATCTCTTGTCAGTTTCATGACCCACACAGAACTAGTGTATCTCAACTTAGAAAGCTACAATATATGTATCCATAAGGCATATATGACTTTGTTAATAAGGACACTAATTTGATGTACACGACATTACAAGAATTTACTTCCCCTATCAGTTTTCATAAGCCACACAAAACATGCATAGTAGTGCAATTCAACTTAGTAGAAATGCTAATTTTTTTTTACAAATCCATTGGGTCAATAGGGATGCTACTTTGATGTACATGGCATCATGAGCAGAGAATACTTGCGGAAATATAAAACAGTTAACAGCTCTTGTCTCAACTTATGAAGCTAAAACATGCACATCCATGGACATATAATTTTGTGCACAAGGATGCTAATTTACTGTACAAGGCATCACAAGAACTTAAATATGTTGCCAGTTTTCATGACCCACAGAGAAATAGTATGCAAGGTTCTAAATAAGCCTGTAAGTATCAAACCCAACAAATAGAATATACATCAGCACATAGGCCTAACCGGCACAGGGACCAATTTCCACGATGAGATCATCATCACAAGATTGTGGTGGTCAGAAGGCCACCACCAGAGACAACATCAACGCATAGAGCTGATCTCGAAATTATTGGCTCAATGGCCAGCACCAAAACCAGCCATGGCTCGATGGTCGGTTCATCTCAGGGTACAGGGAGAGAGGGAGGAGGATGGTCGGTCCATCTCAGGGTACAGGGAGAGAGTGAGGAGGATGACCGGTCCATCTCAGGGTACAGGGAGAGAGGGAGGAGGATAGGGACTCACTAAAACTGAGGAAGAAGATGAGGCAGTGTCCAAGGAGGGGGTAGTCTCCGCCAAGCCATGGTAGCCAGATAGGGAGGTTATGATTCAACCTCCACTGACCAGTCGGTGAAGCCAGACAGGGAGGTTATGATGCAGCCTTCGCTGACCGGTCGGTGAAGCCGCCAAAGCAGAAAAGGCACAGAGGCTCTTCTGGCAGCGGCCAAAGTGGTTTCTGGTATGAGAAATATAATCAAAGATCCATTAAAAAGCTTAATTTTGGAAGAATATAACAAATCTAGTCTTTTTTTATTAAAGTCTGTCAGGAAAGAGCCACCCATATTCTGTAATTAGTAAGCTGTGAGCAGAGAGACAACTGTTCCTTGTGAAACATTTATGATACAAAAACGAAAGGTAATTCGTTCATGACACCTTCATTTTTCAGATAACGCGCAAGTCATTCACAAAGAACGGGTTTTTGACGGCGGGGAGTAAGTAGCCCACAACAACTATACCTATACTTGTGACTTAAAGTGGCAGGTACGCAGAAATACAAGATGGTCATGTCCTAATAACAACTTTCATCTATTTACAAGTCAAGAGAATACAGTTAGTATATGCATTATGCCTCTTGGTGGCTTCGCTATGATAGCATTCGAAGTTCAAACATTTAGTACAACTCGTAATGCAAGGGTACCTCTATCTAAATAATTAAGCCATGAAATACTATATTGCTTGAAAAGGAAGTATAGGACAAGAATAATGTAGCCTACAATAGGCTCTGCAAATAACCATAAACCATCAAATATACATATAGTTCCACTTCAATTTTTATTCTTTCATCATCATCCAAAGAAAAATGTGTTAATTCGACGCCGCGGCACAAGCCCTCTCAGCTCCAGGTACTAGTTTCAGAAAACGGAACTCTGGACTCTGAAAGGTATATTGCTACAGCTTAATACCACGTGACATATGTGATAAGCAATTCAAACAATTTATAAAAAAATAAATCAGAGTAGATGATGTCAAAAAGGGAAAACAAGAAAATCTCAAAAAGAAAAAAGAAAAATCAGAGATAGGACTTTGAAACCCGAAGGACATCGAACGATCTAGAGCCTTGCCGAAGCAGCTAAGCCAGCTCGTATTTACGGTTTTGCCCTCATTGACTTCCCTCCTATCCCCTTCCACTCCGCCGCTCGTCGTTTCCTCCGTCTCTCCTCAGGCAGGCGCTCTCCCTCTCCTCCTGGTCCTGGAGCCGCGACTCATCTGAACCCTAAACCGTAGATCCCGGCGCAGCAGGAGCGAGATATCCTCCAGCAAGCAAGCATGAGGTGATAGCCGCTCGCGATCCTTCTCTGGGCGTTCTCTTGTTCTAATTGACGAGATTCATGTGCGGTCGCGTGGTGGTAGGTCGCCGCCGCCGGCTGACCGGGCTGGGCTCGGATGGGATTGATTGACGGGGCGCTGCTATTTTAGTTTGGTTATTTACAGTAGGATTCTGCATATGGTCTTCTTGTCTGTCTGTCATATACAGACAGTAGTACTAGTTTGTTTAGTCAGTTAGATTAGATTGGATCATGGCTCTGGAAGTCGGGACTTTGCAGTCTGGACATTGCGCCTTGTAAGTTACTACTGTATTTCTTGGTTATTGTTAGGCACACGCATGCGTGTCGTTGCGATTTGTGATATCCTAGGTTTTTGCTCAAAGGGATGCCCTGTTTTGGCGTTCCAGAGCATGATTGGCTGATTAATCACCGTTTGTTTGGCTGGCCAAGCCAACCTCACAAAAAGTTGCCAGTTTTTGGCCAACAAATTGGCTGGCCATCTTCTTATTGATTGATGATGATTGTCGCGGTCGTAGAGACGAGATTTGATCAAAATCCTGATGGTGATTGTTTTGAGTGCAGTCGCCACCCGAGCACCAAGTGGGCGCAGAGGCTGGACAAGGTTTACCTGACGATTGAGCTGCCCGACGCCAAGGATGTGAAGCTCAACTTGAGGCCTGATGGCCATTTCAACTTCTCGGCAAAGGCCCCTGCTGATGGCATGCAGTATGAGCTTGACCTTGAGCTCTTTGATGCTGTCAGCGTTGAGGTTTGTGTCTGCAATTACTCACAAATGTCATCTTCTTGGGTGCACTTTTTACATGCTAATCAACTGCTGTTATTTATTTACATGCTAATCAACTGCTGTTATTTATTTACATGCAGGAGAGCCAAGCGGCTGTTGCCCCGAGGGCTATATGCTACCTTGTCAAGAAAACTGAGGCCAAGTGGTGGCCTAGGCTGCTCAAGAAGGAAGGCAGGCCGCCTGTGTTCCTCAAGGTTGACTGGGATAAATGGCAAGATGAGGATGATGAAGACGCTGGATGTAAGTTCTGTGGTTCAAACATGTGTTTGTTTGGGTAGGTCCTATATACTATACTACCCTGTTCGGGGTGAACTGACCTCAGGTTATCTGTCTCGCAGTTGGTGACTTTGGTGATATGGACTTCTCGGTATGGGCCTGGTACAATCTTTCTTCGGTTACCAAGTAAATGTTAGCAAGGCTTCTCATTGTTCTTTGTGTTTGCAGAAGCTGGACATGGGAGGTGGTGATGACGATGATGATGATGAGATTGAGGAGGATGATGATGAAGACAATGTGGTCGACAGTGCTAACAAAGGTAGCTTATGATGTTTATCTTGCACCCCACAATTTGTTTGGGAAGCATGTGCCTGTTCAAGGCTTCATATTTGCTGTCCTGCTATTTGATTAGTGCCATGCTGATAATGTTCAGAACGAGGATACTAGTAAGACATTTTGCTGAATCCTACTCTTAATTATTTAGCCTTTTAGTGGTGAACCCTCAGTTTTTCTGGAGGTCCAATGCGAGAGTAGCATAGACATATCTTCAGTACACATGCCTGTGGAAGTGTCGAACTCTGTCCAGTGTTGTTCAATGCAAGTTGAGGCGACTGTATTAACCATCTGTTCCAAGAACAGTACAGAAAGACTTTGGCTGGCTTTCTCTTCTGTGAATTATTACAAAATTCACTAACTGGGATGTTCACTGATAGGGTGACAACTCTTGTAACCACCACCTCCTAGGAGGATTGTACCTTCTCATCTTTTCAATGAAATGAAACGCAAAGAGTCCTTTGCGTTTTCTCAAAAAAAAAAAATACAAAATTTTGATTTGGTCTATTTACTGCAACCTAGCATAAATAACTTGACCATTTCGAAAAAACACAAAGAACTTGTGGAGTTGGTCTCGACTCTTGGATTTTATGGGTAGTACTGTGTGCTGAACTACTAACCATGTTGCTGTAAATGCAGGTGATGTAGATGCTGAGACAGAGCCGGGGAGCAAGGGAGGGGAAGCTCCATCAGCTGCTGGTGAAGAAGCAAAGCCATAAGATTGGAGGCGATGGCATCGATCGTTGCAACTTATGATGGTTATGAGATCTGTTTCTAGACGCGAGGTAGAATTTTGGTGTGCCCCTGAAGTTGGGTAGTAGAGGTGGGTGTTGGTAGCTTTTGGCCCGGGGCTATCTGTAGTGTTCAACGTTATTCTGCACCTTTTGTTTACTAGTAAATTGTATGTGCTTTGCACGTCACTTAAATATATAAAAGCATGGGAAAATACATTTGAATATGTATTTCCTTTCCTAGAATCATATTAGACAAGATCCAACTTGTTGGTTATTAGTCCCAGTTTTGTAAGATTCTCCCAGAACCTGACCCCTTCCTAGCTTCGCTCAGAATCTTTGAGCCGCATTTGTTTTATTATCCTATTTAGTTAGGGTCTAATTAGCTAGGATTCTAAAACAAATGGTGTCAAAGATTCTGAAAGAAGTTAATGAGGGGTCAGACTCCGGGAGAATCTTTCAAAAGACCTGGGTCTTATCTCTCTAGAATAGATTGTTCTAGTCTCTTTTTATTGGAGTATCAGATAAGCATGTCGAAAGGTACTTTTAAGAAACATGAGATGGTAGAATTGGGGGTTCAGTTATTCTTCTATAACAAAAACAACACATCCACACACACAGGCTTCATAACCAACACATCCACACACACAGGCTTCATAACCAGTGTGGCGTGTCGCCACGTCTAAGAGTATCTCTAAAAGACCCCGTATACGCCTTATTGCGGATAAGGGCCGAGAAATCGGAGATTTATGGGTCGCGCGTTGCTGTGCGGCCAAACAGAGTCCGTATTTGAAACCGATTTTCTTTAAAAGTATTCCGATAAGAAGTGGAGAACACAACTACATTCATGGGTTGATCATCGCTATATAGAAAGTTATTTTACATAGTGCATTCGCACCGGGTGCGGCCCTACTACATTCGCAAAATCGGAGCTCACTGCCATCCCTCCTCCGCTCACTCGTCGTTGTCGGAGGAGACAAGGTCGATGTACTTCTTGTCTTGCTCCTCCTGCTCGCGGCGCAATTGAGCCGAGGTCGCTGAGCTCCTCGCCCCCCAGGCGACGTGCCTCCTCTCCTCTTGTTCGCGCACAGAGCGCTCGGCGAGCACCGCTTCGAAGGCGTCCGTGTTCGGCCCGGCGAGGTAGTCCTTCAGGCTGGTGACGTCGCAGCTGCGCGGGGGCTCCTCCCTTCCTTCGATCTTGATGGCGCGGAGTGGAGTGAGCTCGCCGTGCTCCCTCTTCACTGGCACGGAGTAGAGGTGGTGTTGGTGCCTTTTGGCCTGGGGCTATCTGTAGTGTTCAACGTTATTCTGCACCTTTTGTTTACTACTAGCTCCGTCCGAAAATACTTGTCATCAAAATGAATGTATGTAGAACTAAAATACATCTAGATACATCCTTTTTATTCATTTTGATGACAAGTATTTCCGGACGGAGGGAGTAGTAAATCGTATGTGCTTTGCACGTCACTTAAATATATAAAAGCATGGGAAAATATATTTGAATATGTATTTCCTTTCCTAGAATCATATTAGACAAGATCCAACTTGGTTCTTAGTTGGGAGAATCTGACCCCTTCCTAGCTTTCTGGAAGAATCTTGCAAAAGACCTGGGTCTTACCTCTCTAGAATCTAGATTGTTCTATTTTTTTATTAGAGTATCAGATAAGCATGTGGAAAGATACTTCTAAAAAACATGAGATGGTAGAGTTGGGGGTGTTGGGGGTTTAGTTATTCTTCTATAACAAAAACAACACATCCATAGGTTTAGTTATTCTTCGAGGTAAATACACTAAGAATCTTAGAACTTGCGTGTGGCGGTCAGCTTGGTGCACAAACTTGTAAAATACGTGTTTCTGGTCCACGGACTTGCATGAAGGTGCAAATACGGTCACATTTTATGTACGCGGACGTATCTACTGCCTACTTGGTAGTCCAGCATGGTAAAGGCCCGCTGTCAGCCATGGTAATAGTTCTTGCATGATAGATTTGTAGAAAAGCACACACCTTTTTGTTCATACACTGGGCCACTCAAATAAAATAAATAAAAACATTGGCAGAGGTGGATTTCGAACCCAATACCAGCCGCTGAAAGTACCCCGTGTATTATCCCTCAAAAAAAAGTATCCTGTGTACAGCCACCATTTTATCAACAGGGACTGAAAAATTAAAGAAGAAATCAAACCTGAATAACAGGATCCCGACAATTCGAACCTGTGAAATCGTGGTCGTCCATGACTAAGCAAACCATCAGGCTACAATTGCACATAATGTTATAAATATATAAACACTGTTTATGTTCTTATGTCTTTTGTTCAATGTAAGAAATACAAAAAAACATAGATTCTCGTGTTGTGACCATCCAAAAATGTCCATGCGTTACAAAAAAAAGGTACGAGAAATCTTAGATAATATTTAAACATTGTAAGATATATATTTGTGTAACTAAAAAAACATACGCTGCATTTAAAAATGTTCATGCATTTCAAAAAATATTTATGACATTTAAAAATATTAATAAAATGTAAAAAACTGTTCACATAGTTTAAAAATATTTTGTATCATCCAAAAATGTTTAACATATATTTGAAATAGGTTCAAAATCTTGTATTTGAATAAATATTATCACATGTTTAGAAAACAAGTATATAAATCTCTTTAGATGTATACCTGAAACAGATAATGTGTATGAAAAATATCGACATCAAAACATATATTTTTTAAAAATGTTAATAATCTATTTGGATAGTGTATAAAAATGTTTATGTTGTATACAAAAAATGTAAAATATGTGTGTAAAAGTATATATCAAAACATATATTTGAAAAAAATATTAATTATGTATTTGAAAAATGCTTAACATATATAAAGAGTAATGTTTAGTATGGTACCATGCATGTTTTTTGCACCATGCATGTAGCTAGTTATGCATATATGGCTATATAGTGCTCTCTCCGTACCATATTATAAGACGTGGACAAAGGGAGTAGTACGTACGAGCCTGTATATATTTACAATATTTGAATATTATCCAACTCAAAACAATGTTTAAATATTATTTAAAATGCCATGTACCTTTATTTGTAATGCATGAACGTTTTTGGTAGGTCACAAACACTAGAATATATGTTTTTTTGTGAATATATATAAGTTGTATTTCTTACATAGAACAAAAGAGAGAACAAGATATAAAAAGTTTAGCTCTTTGGAACATTCTTCTTTTGAATAGCGGCCAGTACTCCACGAGGTCACAGGTTCGAATTGTAATTCTTTATTTTTTTCAGTCCGTGTTGATAGAATATAAGTTGTAGTGGTGCTAGTAGAACATGAAATGTTATCTGTCTGGTGGCTGTCCACGCCATTTTATTAGCTGAAGGTCATGTGTTCGAAAACCCATCATCTTTTCTCTTTGGTTTTTTACTTTATTTGCAGGGCCCAATACGTGAATAAAATAATTCAATTTTTCTTTTTTGCAAATCTACCATATGAGAACTGTTACCGTGGCTGACAATGGGCCCCAGCGATGCTGGCGTGCCATGCAGCTTATAGATACGTCCGTGTATGTAAAATGTGACCGTATTTGCACGTCCATGCAAGTTAGCGGACCAGAAGCATGTATTTTACAAGTTTATGCATCAAACTGGCCGCTATGCGCAAGTTCTAAGACTTCTAGTGTATTTACCTCTTATTCTTCTATAACAAAAACAACACATCCACACACAGGCTTCATAACCAGTGCGGCGTGTCGCCACGCCTCTGCGTGCTCTTACAAAGTAAGAGCATCTCTAACAGACCCCGTATACCAGCGGCCCTTATCGCGGATAAGGGTCGAGAAATCGAAGATTTACGGGTTGCCCATGGCTGCGGCCGAACAGAGTCAGTATTTGAAATCAAAAATTTTGAAAAAAAATATTCCGATAAGAAATGGAGAACACAACCACATTCATGGATTGATCATCGCTATGTAGGAAGTTATTTTATATAGTGCATTCGCAACCGGGTGCGGCCCTACCACATTCGCAAAATCGAAGCTCACTGCCATTCCTCCTCCGCTCACTCGTCGTTGTCCGAGGAGACACAATCGACGTACTTCTTGTCTTGCTCCTCCTGCTCGCGGCGCAATTGAGCCGAGGTCGTTGAGCTCCTCGTCCCCCCGGCGACGTGCGTTCTCCTCCTCCTGTTCGTGCGCAGAGCGCTCGGTGAGCGCCGCTTCGAAGGCGTCCGTGTTTGGCCTGGCAAGGTATTCCTTCGGGCCGGTGACGTCGCGGCTGCGCGGGGGCTCCTCCCCTCCCTCGATCTTGATGACACAGAGCGGAGCGAGCTCGCCGTGCTCCCTCTTCACTGGCAGCAGCGGTGCACCGACGAGCTCCCCGCGTTGAAGAGGCGCGCATGGCGGCGATCGTACTCCCCCGTCCCGCGACGGAGGAGGGACGATGGCACCGGGAGCCGGCAGTTCGTGCATCGCTTTGCCAAGCGCTTGCGCGCCGCATCGGCGATGACGCAACGCTTGCGCTTCGGGTCTTCACCGCCACCGTGACAACTAGAGCTCGACATCGGCGCAGATGGGTGGGGGGTAGTGGTTTTAGCTCGCCGACGGCGAGAAATTGGAGAGGGGATTGAGGATTCATGGCGGCGGAGGGATAGGGTTTCGGCCCGTATCCTCGCGGCAAACACGTAGATATATCGCGTGGGGAGGGGGCGGTTTGTGGGCCACCGTAAAATAATTTACGGGCCAAGCGACTGTGCGGGCTCTGGTCTGACCGGAAAAACGGGTCGGGCCGTACACTCGCACGGAGAGATGCTCTAAAGAGTGGCATATAATCAATGTACTACCAAGGGTTGATTATTGCCCAAGCAGAACCGAGTGATTGGCGCACACAGAGTGACAGAGAGGGGAGAGAGCACGGGTGGGGTGGAGACCGGAGCGGCGAGGGTTTCGGTGCCAGCGTCGCTGCCCTGGGTGGAGAAACCCCACCCCTCGCGCCCTCCGC